GGGGTGTGTGTGTGTGTATGGGGGGGATGTGGGGGTGTCACAACGCGTGGGTTTGGCAGCACGCGGGGCAGAGCGCCATCAGCGCACCAGTGGTGTAGTGGTATCATGCAAGATTCCCATTCTTGCGACCCGGGTTCGATTCCCGGCTGGTGCAAAACGTCCACCACTTCCTATGGCTTTTAAATACTCTAAACGAAGATCAGCTGCCATATATGTGGTTAAAGTGCCCTTTTTAATTTTTTTTTTTAAATTATTATTTTATCTTGTACCGAGGTCTGCCGCTGTTGCAGCCACAGCTGGTTGCAGAGAGGGGGGCCCATCACCCCTCCCAGCATCACCCCAGTGCTCCGTGGCTATCCCGGGCTTGGAGGGCAGGAGGGGATTTAGGGACCCTTTCCCCTTCATTGGGGTCTTCTCTGTTGCTTTTTCTGCTCTCTCCTTCCTCCCCTCCCCCCAAATAGGAACCCCCCTCCTTTACAGAGACACTGCCGGAGGGTACCGCTGCTCTCAGCAGCACACAGCTGCTCAAAGCTCCCCTGTGCGCCAGGATGGGAAACAGATCTTTTCTCTACAAGGTGCAAGTTTTTGGCTATTTCTGAATATTTTTTAATGAAAAAAAAAATCTTTCAGCAGGTATCCACTCCTTCCAGAGCACTCCAGGCCCGGGCATCTCTCTCATCACCTGCCCAGGCATTGGGGTCGGATATTCGTGCCAAAACCTCCCTGTGTCGCTCAGCATGTGGGGCTGTGCGTGTGCACCCCCTCCTCTGTGGGTTCTCCCCATCCTTCCCTCGGACACGGCTTTTCCCCCTGCAAAAAGGAAGGGAGCGACTCCGTAGGGAGAGGGAGACTGTGTCCCCATGTGTCCCCCAGGCCCCGAAACGGGGTCCGCCAGTGCTCGGCTGCCCTGAAGGTGTCCCGAAACATCAGCGCTCTGTTGCAGGACTTAATGGTGCCTCACTAAGCTGAGCCAAAAATCAGGGGGGACGCTTGTCCCAGTGAGGAGCCTGATGGATACCGGGACCTGGCAATGTCAGCTCGCTGCAGCAAAGAGTGGGTGGCAAGTGGGGTCCAGTGTCCCCCCAGTTACCCAGACCAGGGTGTAGGCACCCACTCGAGGACTCATTAAAAAGAAAATATATAAATCCATATAAAACAAACACATCCATATGAAACATACACATCCATAGGAAACATATCCATGCATATAAACCATACACATCATTCTAAAATGCACGCATCGTTATAAAACATACACATCATTATAAAACATACACATCCATAGAAAACATATACATCCATGGAAAACACATACGTCCATATAAACCATATACATCCAGACAAACCACATAAGCTCTGAGGAGCTTATAAATAACCAATAAAAAAATAAATGAATCCCTGTTTCCCTCCAAAGCAGGGAGCAGGGAAGGGGTTTGCCGAAGGTCACCGGGGGCGTCGGGGCAGCGCGCGGGAGGGGAGAGGTGGAAGGCAGCGGTGGGAGCCATGGGAAAGCACCAACCGCATCCCGGAAAAATAACATTTGCCATGTGTGACGGCTCTGTAAAAAAATGCCTAAACAGGATTAGAGAGGCTTTCGTGGCAGTTTATCCCCGAAGTAAAGCAGTAAGAGGCACATAAAAGCGTTCGGTCCTTTCTGAAAATAGTCCTTGAGCGTCTGCGTTGCGGCTGGGTCGCTCCCGGGGACGGACGGGGGCTCCCGGGGGCGGAATTCCGCGCTCGCTGGTGAGCAGAGGCTGCTCCTCTCC